CAGGGAGGACCTGCACCTGTTGTTTCTATACTGATTTGTGTACTTCAAAGATAGAAGTACTATATTCAGTTGTTTATAATTAATACATCATGATAACTGAAATTGAAATTGTGTTGTTGGGAGCACTTCTGTTATTTAGTAAAACCCGGTAATTGAGATATGTGTACATTGAAACTGAAAGGCAAAATTACTTGTGTTAAGAAGTTATTCTCTTTCCTGTCCATTGCTAGTTAAACAGGTTAGCATTTTGACTGATGTCTTGGTATCTATTTGGCCATCTCATCAACATCATATTCCAGAGCATGATAAGGTTTGTTTTACTAATGTCTTATGTTCATAGCTTGCTATTTTTACTCCTCAGGCCATATTCCCAAAGCTTGGATTAGCACTGCTATGGACCTTCAGATAGATGAGTGAGTATATGAAGTCTAATTTTACCTCTTTAGATAATACTGTTTTTCATTCAGATGTTTGTAGATTTAGCCTTTATATATATTTTTAAATAAGCTTATTTTCACATTGTTCAAATACTAATGGTATCTAAAAGAGTATATAATACAAATGACTCCTCTACCCATCTCTTGTCACCTTGTCCTAAAACAAGTAAGCAGTGACTTGTTTTTGTTAGATCTAACTTTTATGTTATACAAAAATGGACTTCTTGAGTTGCATGGACATGCTTCTCTTTAGTTTTTCTATGCCCAATTGTGGGAGACAACCACGGTGATGAGGCATTACTCATTTTGCCTCTGAGTAAACCAAAATTTCTCTGGTTCAAGTTGAAGGTGACATTTAGCAGCTGAGTGACTGCACTTGGGTGTATTGTTCCTGTTATTCCCCACAATAGGTAAAATTGTATTTATTTGGCAAAAAAAGGTATATTTCTCTGTTACTGTTCAGTTTTTAATTATTAGTCATTGTTGAGAGTTTTTATATATATGTAGACTTCACTAATACCAGTTTTGAGGAGTAGGATTATGGCATTTATAGCTATTTGAAA